CACTGCTGTAATTATATTTCCAAAAATTACTTTCAGTGAGATAGCAGACACTTTCAGATTAAATTAAATCAGGAAAATTTAGCACACACTGGGCTTTATCAAATTCTCCTGCATACATTTATTTTTTTTTCTTTAAATATCAAATGCCCTTTAGGGGATTGTGTTCTTTAGTGAATAAAAGTGTAAAAAAAATGTGCAATTGTATTACTATAAATAAAACAAATTTACCAGGTACAAAGGTAAATTTGAAATAAAATTAGAGTTGAACAAATTAAATTCAATGTAGGAATTTCTAAACATGATAAACACTATATATGAAATATGCAAACACATACAAAGAAACTTTCACACACACACACCTTTTATTTTGCTGAGAGTTGATATAGCTACTAACTTGAACAGAGTTAGGAAAAGAAGGACAGAACAAACATATACCCATCTCCTGGAATACCGAGAGGAAATATTCCTCCTGAATTTCTAAGCCAAATATAAAAAAACTAAATCCTTTTCAGATATTAAAAAGATAGTATTTACTTGAAAAGATTAAGTTCTATTACTGATTCAATTTAAAGATAAGAAGTTTCTGCAATAATAGAAACTAGAGTCACTTAGAAATCTCAAATGGTATTTCATTCCTCCATTCCTTCATCATTCAACAAATGTTTACAATGTACCAAGCACTGTTCCTGTGAACAAAACAAAAATCCCTGCCCTCATGGAACTTACATCTAAAAGAGAAAATGACACTCAGCTACTTCCAGCAGATGGCAGGGAGGTACAAAGGCGCTCAGGGGGAATGCAGCCGGCCAGGAGAGCTGGCAGCAGGGCAGCTGGGCAGTGCAGTACAGCGTGATGGCCACAGGAGTGAGTGGCCACAGGAGCCAGATCACAATGAACCACAAGTCACAGAGTTGGGTTTTGTTCTTTTCTCTCCACTGCCCTCAGGATAAAGTGCAAATACAGAGTGTGGCACTCTCAGTCCTCCAGTCTGGCTCACTCCAGCCTTCTCTCTCCCTAAAATCACTTGAGCTGCACTTTCCACCAAATCCACGGTGGGCACCAGGCGTTCTCTTCCCTGAGAATCCCTGTATGTCCTGCTCCTTCAGTTGCAAGAACTTCTCAAGTTCTCCCTTCCCACTTTTGGTCATCTGTGCTAATGTTAGGTATTGACTCTTCCAGAAAGCCTTCCTGTGTCCTATTGTGGTAGGTGGTTAGACATAAGCTGAGCACGGATGATGGGCCAGGTACAGAACATCACCAGGGAAGAAAGCCCTGGTTGCCACGCAACGGGCAAAACTGGAAAAACAAGAACCTCACCCCCTGGTTAACCTTCCCTCCCCTAGCATATCGCCGGTCATGGGGTTTGGATCCTCTGACCTCTCATATCACTGCTCATTGGGTTTAGACCCCCCCCACCTTTCTTTCCTAGAGATAACAGATAGGCCTCAGTTGTGTTTCAGCTACAGAGCCAGAAAAGCATCAAACCCAGACAAGGGACCCCAAGGCTAAGATTAGGACCAGCTGTAATGAATAATGACCCCCTGCCCTGGTGCTGACCAATCAGTGGAGACCCCGATCCTGAAGGGACACACCTGGAAAATTGCTGGATATTCTATTGAGATTCTCTCCCGGGACCTCCCCTAAAATCTCACCCTCAAAACCCTTAAGACAGAGGACCTAGTACTCTCTCTCCTCCCAGGAGCTCCCCCACCCCGGGCATTTCCCCTCCTAAATCCTTCAACTCCCCCCCAGGCACGTTACCTTTACCTTCCTCTCTCATAAGCCCCAAAGACCCTTCTTTTGCCTCTGTCACTTGTTTCCTGAGCTCATTTCTTCTACCACTCATTTCTCCTACTTATGTGATATTCTAAATAAATCTTCTCTTATAGTTTGTGTCTTGGCTCTGAATTCTTTCTTAGCCAGAACTCAAGTAGTGAGGTTGCTGAACCCAGGTCCTATCTTACCCCACTGGTCTCACACCTGGTGCTGTTCTTGCCACGCCAACACTATGAATTCCTGGCTGAGCTGAGGGTTTTCCCATGTGTTTCCACAGAATATAACACTACCCCCATCATATTCTTTACTATGTTTACATGCTATTGTAATTCCTTGAAAATAAGGAACAGGTCCATTTACCTGGTATTGTATGCTCCTAACAGGGTTTGGTATATAAAATAAATATTTGTTGAATAAATATTGAATCTTAAACCAGGCTCAAATCTCTTTATAAATATCTTAAAGGATTATTTATATTACCAGATCTACATAAAGGTGGCAATTTTGGAAGAAGCTCTAATGCTAAACCATTCTGTAAAATCTTCAGTTCTTTCATGTCACTAAACCAATTCAGCCTTAAATTATTTGGTTCACTAATTAAATAAGAAATACTAGGTACAGTTTTACCTCGCCAGAAGCTCCCAGTAGAAATGAGAGGGGAGATTAAAACAAGTAGAATGCAAAGGCTCTTCTTTTTGTTTGTTCGCAAGGGCATTACCCATTAAATCCTTCTTTGTTTGCTCTACATAATGAAATAAAGGCCTCGGGCAACCAGGAGCTGGTGATCAGCAGTGCAGCATAATGTGTCCCTCTTGCCTAGCAGATCCCTCTTCAGTGTTTGGAGAAGCAAAGCCTGGGGACTCAGAGGCTGTCAGCAGGAGACAGAAACAGACCTTTTAAGTACTCATGACAAGCTGAACTGAAACCAATAAACCAATACAAACCGCAGAAGGGTCTGAAGCCACACTTCATATTGGAAAATCAAGATGAGTGAGCAAAACAGCTTCTAAGACAAATGTGGACAAGTATTCATCATACACATGTAGTCACTGGTTAAAAAGAAAACAGAAAATGAGAAGAACCAACACCATTATTTAACTCTTCTGTTTTTAGGTTTCTCTGAAGCTTTTTCTTTGACTCTGATGTTTGGCTAAATATCAATTATAATATGTTGATACAGATAACATTTTTTCTAATATGTAAATTAGTTTTCTAATCTGTATACCAATTAAGATTTACTAGTATGTAAGGCCTAATAATATAAAACGGGAGTGTGACAATATGCCTAAAGAGGAATAAGTTTTGAGACAAAGAATAAACCTTCTCTATAAGCTAAAAATGAAAACCTAAAATAAAATATGGAAAATAACAGGTTATCAGAAAACTGATGCTGAATTATTAAGGCAGGGCCTCATGTAATAAAAAAGTCATTTGGTAATGGCATGCATATCCTCCTCAGCCCTGAGAGAAGCTCTTTCTCTGTATAATTTATTCAGAAAATACACAGTTCCAGCTTAGAGACCAATCTAAAGTAACCAATAGTGTATTTTCAGAACTATTTTGTTTGTTCTGTCTTGGGCTATCACTTCTTATCAGATTGGAATTCCCCACGTATGAGTACTAAAGGGAGGCAGGGCCCCAATTCCTACTGTCAGTCCAGAAGGAAATTAATTCAAGAAAGCAACTCTAATTTCTAGACAATTTGTGGGCTCTCAACTCTCCATGCTGCCCTCTTCTACCTTTCGGTGTGTCATTTTTCTGTGTCTGGTTCTTCCCTTTCAATGAATGCCTCCATGTTTTTTAAATCAGTTGAAGCTGGGATTGTCACCCAGACTGAGCAAAACTGGCTTCTGTTTATTTTCTCTTGACGGTTAGCAACAAGTCAGAATGGAAAGTTCATTGTTTTGTATCAGTTGCCTTTCTTGAATTCTTTTAGAAGTTCTACACAGGAACATTGTGGACACAAAAGGATGTAATTTCAGAGTCAGGGAAAGTTCAGCAAACTTTCTAAAAACTGAATGGAAACCCTAAATAGGTTAAAAAAAAAAAAAAAAAAAAAAAGCAAAAGAAGAAAATGTGATTCAAAGAGCCTTAATTTAAAAGCAAATGCTTGAAAACCCTGGCATGACAGACTGTTCAACCAGTAATTGTTAACTAGTGGTGATTTTGCCAGCCAGCGGACATTTAGCAGCATTTGGAGTTCTTCATGACCATCACATCAGGCGAGAGGTGCTGCTGACATCTAATGAGTAGAAAATGGGATGCTAAACATCCTACAATGTCCATAACAGCACCCACACATAGAATTATCTGGTCTAAAATGTCAATAATGTCAAGATTGAGGTACTCTGCCCTACACCACTATTTCCCTTTAAATCAGATATAAATAAATGCCCCACAGAGCTAAAATAACTCTCCCTCAGTCCACAATACCCAGACACTGTTATGATTGCCTCTGAAACCTCATCTCTACCCTAATGTTCAAAGAGAGTCTCAGAACTCATCTGTCAATATCACGATTCATCTAAGAACTACACAGGTAGGAAAAACTACAAAAGAATCAATAAGGGAAAGGAATGAGCACAGGCAAAGAGCTGGAAAAGGCCAGGAGTGCCTGAAGGAGGGAGAGGACCCCCAGGGTGAAAATACAGTTGTGTTTATGGCCATAAAAGTTGGGAAATAAAACTCTGAGGGATGCTGTGATCAGAATCCAACGTTATCTGATACATCACAGCAGTCCATATTTTACTTCCTGCGTAACAATAATCTTTAAGGGAAAAATTCTAAGTGGGGTAAAGAAATAGGTTGTTTCTTAGAAGAAGAAAAAAATCTCTGGTGTCGGTTTAAGTGAAGATCTGACATGAGCAGACGTGGTAATAAGGAAGTTAGGAGACAGCCTCAGTAGTAGAAAAGCTAGAATTAGAATAGCTGGATGGAGGTGATGACAGTGGAGATGGAAAACAAAGACCAGAGAAGTTTCAAACATATTCTTAGGGATTTCCAGTTCTATAAAATACAACTTTAAAGGATAAAAACACTTTGAAAGAGTCAACACATCTCTAAGTCCACTGTGCATCAAAAGAAAAATATGGCAACATGTCAATAGGTTGTTTCTTAGCAGGAAAAAATCTCTGGATTCAGTAAAGGTTATACAGTGATCATGTATGCTATTTGAATATTTCCCTATGACTTCTAAATAACATCCAGAAAATTTATGATATTACCTGCTCCAGGACTCCTTTATAGGTAATGGTTGCTTTAGTGTTTGTTACAGGACTGTCGTAGATGATAGCAATCTTATCTCCTTTGCCATTTTCAATATGACGATCAATGGCATTATAACAAATGTTGAGCATGCCTTCCACAAACCTGAAAAATAATTGGAAAGTAAAAGTAAATGACTCTTTTCAAAAGGTATTGTTGCTTAGTTAGCTTTGTATATTTCTAGTTTGGTAGAATTGCCCTAAAAACACTGCTTTCCTGCTCATGTTATGCTAGGTAATGATAACTATAAACTGGATATATAAGATGATAGAGGGGCATTTTTATTTTACTTTAATGATTGTGTATTTATTTTGATGTGGACTAAAAAAATACCTCGTGCTTCTAGGTGATATTTTTTGTGGATTGAACTGCTTAGGATGAAACTAGAGTATAGAGCAATAAAATAATCTACATTGATAAAATAAATTGTATATAAGTGCAGACACAATAGGCTGAGGAAACAAATGGTAGATGTATGACTAAAGACTGGGTACAGACTAAAAAAACAAGCTTACTGGAAAACTCAAGTCTACTTTGAAAGCTATTTAGATGATAGATAGATAGGTAGGACATTAGTTTCTATTAAATATATCTCCAATTGCATAAAAAATAGGTGAGCTCCTTCCACATGTTGGAAATGCTTCATCATTTGAATAAAAAATGGGCATGCACATAAAATTTTAATTTTTAAACACTTTTGCAATGAAGTACTTTTCACCTCATAGTTGATCAATGTCTTCCTATGAAAATGCAGACATCATGTATAGATGAAGATACTTTTTAAGAAAATACAATTCATTTTTTAAAAAGGCTATTTACCACTTTTTGAGGAGGAGGGGATTAAAATAAAAATACAAGCACAAAAAAAATGGTCCATTTGTCAGACTAGCAAACATTATAACAATGCCAAATAACAGGGGGGAAATAGTGAAGCAACAAGAAAAAGTCCTGTTAAATAGCTGAGTATCACCTTCAAGTCTTCACTCAAAGAGCCTTGTGTGAAATGAAGCAGGGAATTAAGAATAGCTACAGATACAGTGGCAGCATTACAAAGGAGCAGGTTCAGAATGTAGCAGCAGGAGGGATCATTTCATCACAATCAAATAATGCCAAATGCTCCAATAATAATGAATTTTACTACCTTACAGCACAGCACAGGAAGTGATTAATATAATCCTTCTGAATTATCAAGTGTGAGCACTTCAATACTTGTTCAAAAATACTGACCTAGCCAGTTTTCTCAGTGGTTAGAACTCAGGCCCCTGGACTGAAGGATTGTGGGTTCAATTCCAGTCAAGGGCATATATGTCAGTTGTAGGCTGATCCCCACCCAGGTTGGGGAGTGTGTGGGAGGCAACCAATCAGTGTGTCTCTCTCACATCAATGTTTCTATCTCTCTCTAAATGTCAATAGAAACAAAATATTTTTAGGTGAGGGTTTATACACACACACACACACACACACACACACACACACACACACACATTAGTGGCCCAGTGCACGAAATGTATGCATAGTAGAGGGAGGGGTCTCTCAGCCTGGCCTGCACTCTCTCCAATCTGGGACCCCTGGAAAGATGTCCTACTGTAGTTTACAGGGATCAGGCCTAAATTGGCAGTCGGACATCCCTCTTGCAGTTCAGGACTGCTGGCTCCTAACTGCTCACCTGCCTGCCTGATTGCCCCTAACCACTCCGCCTGCCGGGCCTGCTCACCCCAAATGCCCCTCCACCAGCCTGATCACCCCCAACTGCCTTCCGTGCCAGTGTGCTAGCCCCCAACTGCTTCCCCTGCCAGCCTGCTCACCCCCAATGGCCCTGACTGCTGTCCTGCTCATTCCCACATCCCCTTCCCACTGGCCTGCTTGCCCCTAATTGCCCCCCTGCTGTCCTGCTCACTCCAAACTGCCACCCCTATTGTTCTGATCACCTCGAATTGACCTCCACTGATGGCCTGCTCACTCCCTACTGGCCCCCCTGCTGGTCTGCTTACCCCAAAACCCCCTCCCCCCACTGGCCTGATCACCTACAACTGCCCTCCCCTCTTGGCCTCTATCTGCCTCTATCTCAGCCCAGCCACCATGGCTTTGTCCAGAGGAACATCTGGAAGGTCTCCTGGAAGGTCTCCCAGTCTAATTAGCATATTACCCTTTTATTAGTACAGATAGAGGCCTAGTGCATGGGTGGAGGCTGGCTGGGTGTCTCGGATCAGGGTGGAAGTTCCCTTGGGGCATGGGGCAGCCTGGGTAAGGGGCCTGTGGTGGTTTACAGGCCAACCACACCCCATGGGGTGAGGGTCCCCACTGCGGGGGTAAGGCTTGGTCAGCCTGAGTGGGGGGCTGGTGGCTATTTGCAGGCTGGCCATGCCCCCTTGCGACCCAAGCTCCCAGCCCTTCCTTCCTTCCTTCCTTCCTTCCTTCCTTCCTTCCTTCCTTCCTTCCTTCCTTCCTTCATTTATTATTTATTTTTATTTATTTACTTATTTATTTATTTATTTATTTATTTATTTATTTATTTATTTATTTATTTATTATTTTCAGCAGCTCCTTGAGCGGAAGGTAGAGCCAGCTGGAAGCAAGTATCTGGGGTTTACTTATCTTCTATAATTGAAATTTTTTAGCTTTGAGTGAAGGCCAGGGCTGGCCAGGGCAGGTGAGAAGCTTTGCTTCCTCCATCGCCAGGGAAAACCCAAGCCTCCTACTTGCTCCAGTTCGATAACCGCCGCCTTCTTGGTTGGGATTTATTTATCTTCTATAATTGAAACTTTGTAGCCTTGAGTGGAGGCCAGGGCCAGCCAGGGTGGGTGGGAACTTGGCTTCATCCATCACCAGGGTAAACCCAAACTTCCCACTAGCTCCAGCTCTGTGTCCATAGCCATATTGGTTAGGTTAACTTGCATACTCATATTGGCTAGTGGGCATAGCGGAGGTATGTCAAAAGGAAGATGAGGTAAGTTGGTTTTAAAGGAGTTCATTGGTACTAACAAAGCTAGATTTGTACTTCATTGATTGGTCAAGTGAAATGATCACTAGATAAAATTTCACTTTTGTCAATCCTGTCAACAGGAAATTCTCACTCCTGCTGACATAAAATGTGGGTGGTTTGGCTCCATTCAAAGGTTCATAAAGCAGGCCATACAAGACAGTTCCTCTGCAATGGCTGCTCCAGCTCCATTTTAAAATGGCTCCACTTATGTCAACTTTCACATTTCCCCCTTCTGATCAAGATATTTTTTCAAAAGGATCACAGATTAACCATTGGAGTGTATTGTCTCAATTTCCTCATGTGTTCACATTGTGATCTCCTGTCACTAGGAATGTTCATTCCTGGTATGTCATATTCATGTAGGAGAGAAATTGGTTTTCTTTGGAGCCTGTAGACCACACTTGAACAATAGGTGTGCCAAAGCTGAGGAAGGCTAGTCATCCAGTCCTATGAAATAAAAGTTAGCAGAGTTCAGCATAGACAGTCAAATCATTTTCAATCTTGTCTTTTAATTGTCCATCTAAGATCCTATGTGGATTAAAAATCAATTCAAAATGTTGTGTTACCATTATTCTTGTGGAGTTCTTATCTTAAAGATAGTAGATATAAGTTTAATAATAGCAATTATTCTTAAAATTAACAACAGGACACAAATTCCAAATAGAATAATTCTAAACCATGAGGCTGTCCCTTTTAAACAGGTCAAAAGACCAAAAGCTTTCTAGAGGCACCTATAACCTATGGCCTTATTCTCTGATTTTTTGAGACTGTGTTTCAATTTATCCTGAAAAATTTATTCATGCGCAGAGGTAGTGACCTCTAGAGCAGCCATAGTTTTAGTTGATAGATTCAGCAATATCCCCTAAAGTCTTAATATTTTAGGCAAATTTTTGTCCATTTATGCCAATACACCACCATTGAAATAAAATTCTCAAGAATCTTATTTCTTTATCAGAGACATCATCTGGCAATTTTCATTTTGTTCTGTGATGTAAATTTAAGGGTGATGACCAATCCTAAGTCTCTGATTGACTACGTAATGAAATAGATGCAACCAGTAATCCAACTGTGCAGTAACTTCCAGTAGGTAATAATTTAAGCAATTTCACCACAGACTTTTCTGCCAAGTACAAGTGAAAATAAATCCTTATGGGACCCAGATAACAGAGTTATGATAATGAAATTTGACTAAAGTAAGGGTTTGAAGGGAGTAGGCACAGTGAAACTGTTGTAGAGCCAGCCAGACATCATAGACCTGTTAAAAGGAGTGCTCCAGTCATTGTGAAGTTCAAGAGAGGTTCCCTATTGCAGGGATACTTTTATGTAATAAAATTTTAGCTAAAAAAAATAAATAAAATAAAGGCAATAGCCTGTCTGCAAGGAGAGCAGATGCTTCCAGAACTCATTCAAATAACAGAATTGCTATGAAAATAAGAATACTAATTGAGTTTCTGAATTCCATGGGGGATAAGTAGAGTGAAAAGTTATTGTTTCACTTTTGATCATAAAGATTACTTTATCAAATTGCTTTTAAGTCACAAATAGCTTAAGAGAAAAATTTCCTTAAATGCAATTCAGTGGTATGACCTGAAAGTTATCAGAGACTTGTATTCTAAAGTATTTGTCAGAGTCCTTTCCATGAATTCCTCTAAAGATGAAGCATCAAAGTAAAATAATAACTCTCTATAAATAACAAAACTTAAAAATGCCCATTTTTAAAGATAGATGAGAGTCATCACAAATAAATTGACAAAGAAGCCCAGTGGTTGAGCATCAGCCCATGAACCAGGAGGTCATAATTGGATTCCCAGTAAGAGCATATGCCCAGGTTTCAGGCTCCATCCCCAGTAGATGGTGTGCAGAAGGCAGCCTATTGATGTTTCTCTCTCAGTGATGCTTCTGCCTCTCTATTCCTCTCCCTTCCCCTCTAAAATCAATAAAAATATAGTTTTTCAAAAATAAATTGACAAAAATATCTGTTATTTCTATAATATACCGATTATGAAAAGATAGCTGGAATTATGACTGATGATATATCAGGTCACATAAGAATTTAGGAATGTTGAGGCATAAGGCAAGCACATTGCCATATCGGTTATTTAGAATTAAAGTTAATTGAAAA